TATATATATATATATATATATATATATATATATATATATATATATATATATATATATATATATATATATATATATATATATATATATATATATATATATATATATATATATATATATAGTATTTATGGGCAAGATTGAAAAATATGTCTGACCACAGTGGGAATCAACCTACAACTTTTGCAATACTAGCCCAAAGCTCTGATTAGATTACATTGATATCGAAGGAACTAGATTCTGTTCCGAAATATCACATCCTCGAACCGAACCGACCAGACCGCGAAGCTCAGTTGGCAGAGCATTGGGCTAGTATTCCAAAGGTCGTAGGTTCGATTCCGCCCGTGGTCAGGCATATTTTTCAAGCTTGCCCGGTGTGGATATACACTAACAGTAACATCACAAGCATTATACATATATATTGCTGGCTAAACGTAACTTCCCCTGGCCAACATCACAGATTGTTTACGAACTCCATTGAGTCACAAGGTGCCCAAAAAGCTCATCACATGGTACATAAAATCAATCCCGCACATGCAAATCTTGCAAGAGATTGAGCGGTTTTGATAGTAATAATTTCACCCTCCCCCCTTTGTGGAACAAGTCTGTGTAGCAGAACAAAATCTATTTTTCTATGCTCCCTAAAACAGTATTATATATTGGTTTCATCCTTGATCATCATCAAGGTTATAGGAAATCCCCAACAATATCTGGGGGGTATGTATTATAAGGATCACAAATTACAACATAGTTCCCAGCATCACGTAGATAATGCATATTATTTCTAAGCCTCTTAAAATCTTGAATCTTATAATTATGACATCTGTTTCGATCAAATGAGCATGGTGGCCAAGCATTTTCAAGTGTGAGGTACACAGAAAGGTTGTAAACTTGGTTATTTTTTCCATAAAAACATGTGCGAAGCACATTAAATAAATTATTGGCGTAAGATGAGACTGTTTCAATTGTTTTTGACCCTTCCAACTAAAAATAAATGTGTTCATTACGTACTTTGGGGCATATTATTTGAAAAGTTCAGGAAAAGATCTTAATTAAAAACATGGAAGTCATCTTTTCCAAGTTTGCAGTTTCCTTAGGCCCTTGGTCTTCTTGTGCCGAAAAAGTACTGGAAATAGAAGATCTTAGAAGGCCTACATTTCCAGAATTACTTAAAGATGCTGTAAAGTCTGTTCTGCACATACGTTCTGCGCAGACCTGCATTCCAATGGTCGGAACCCGACCATTGGAATGTTATTAATATTTCAAACCTTCTGAACTTTCTTGAATTGAATCTCTAGTCTGTATTCATTTACAAGGATAGTGCACCAGAAGAGTGTTAAAAATTCAGTATAATATATATCAAATCATATTTTACAACTGTAGCACTGAGTTCAAAATGTAAACAAAGCGTTTGTTTCTTAGTGCAGCATAAAATTTAACTATAAAATACTTTTTGTTGGGTCATGCTCCCCCAAAATCTCCATACTCTACACATTTCATAGGTAATAATTTTTGCAATTTGAAAAACACACAATTGATACTTTATCCAAACATGGTCAAACTTTGTATAGGGACTAAAAAAATACCTGTGGTTCCGCTGCTCGACCGACCCTATTTTTTTTGCCGACCCTATTATTTTTTCAACACGATTGACCATGCGACCCTATTTTCTCTGGGTGGTTGCGGGCTGCTCATACAGCGTGTTGTCACACTAATTATTGAACCAAATTGCCTAAATTCGTCCATAGGAAATCTAGTTAATATTGATCTTGGGATTCTACTGCAAATCGCCTAGCAAAAAACTTCCAAAACCATGAAAAAAATATTCAAAAAAAAATTTATTTCCGACCTACCGACCCTAATTCTTTCACGATATGAAACCGGAACCACAGGTATTTTTTTAGGCCTAGGTACCAATTTTGAGGTGTTCTTTAGTGACCACAGAGTGTGAAACAGACGTGTAATTAGCCCATTGTATCATTTAGGCATGATACATAACTTAATTCGCTGACGGAGGTATGCAGTCTCCGAGTGGCCTCTAGTTATCTATGTTTTTGTTCAGGTTTATTCAGAAAAATGGTCGTGGAAAGGACCGGTTCCGCTGTTCACATGACGCCGTCTAATTTAGGACTCATTCCGATACAATATTTGGACTCAAAGTCGTACGGTTAGCTGTGCTGGAATTCATCCGGTTTCATACGTCCCGTGTGCACGCAAGGCGAAACTGGATGAATTTGAGTACGGTTCCGAATTTATCCGGTCCCGTGTGAACTGGGCCTTAATTTTCTTTCTTTTTAACACTCGCACACAGTGTCCACATCGGGATGACTAATGATAGTCGTCAGAGACTGAGATTAGCATGGAAAGAATAGAGTAAGCATTGCGGGGAAAATCGATGGACATATTGAAGCTTCCTAAATGGGGGCCAATTTGTGCTAATTGATTAGATAAAATCTCGTTCTCAGGATGTAAAGTCTCGTTCCTGGATGTACAGTCGCGATATTAGGTGCAGTGACGAAAATAGTACCAATTTGAAAACATCGATTTACTTCAGTTTTTCACGCAGTTAAAGCAACGATTGAAAGCTCAGAATCAACAGACAAGTACAAGACAATTGGAACAGTAGAAATGTTGGAAGTGGTGAAGGTGGTGTTTGCTTCGTTGTCTTTCGGCAAGTTCAAATTTTTGTCATTTTCCAGAATGCACAACGGAACCCTTCAATATTTTGCGACTAGTAAATGTCAAGCAATCCGGACTGTCGAGAAAACCGCGCATGAAGTAGGAAGATTCAGTTTCTCTCTTTCGTTTTTCTGAATTTACCCTGTATTGCCCACTCTATTCTTTTATTATCTCTATGGAGATTAGAACTAAAGGTTAGGTCAGACGAATTGGAGACGTTTCAAGAACTTTCAACACAACCAACGAAGAAAGTCTAATAGCCATATTTTTCTTTTCTAGATAGAAACTACCCAATTCTTCTCCTTTCATTACTACAAGTTTTTACCATGGAAAAGAACCACCTTGTTTCTGTCGCTGTAACTGTTGCATGGTTAATAACAATTGTTCTCCTATGCATTGCTGGCAAGAACGCGTTTTTTGACCTGGAAGAAAATGGCTGTGAAATGACGTACATGTTTGAATATCCGGAATACATAAGACTCGAACTAAAGAAAAAGATTTCGAAGAAATACCCAAGATATGGACTTTACTTATATGGCGAAGGGTTATATGCACAAGAACAAAGAAGATCCTTTTCACCAAATGGAATACCAGTTCTATTTATCCCTGGGAATGCTGGAAGTTACCGGCAAGTCAGATCACTCGCATCGGTTGCTTTACGCAAAGCAGAACGGTACCGAAATCACTTTAATTATTTTACAATTGATTTTGATGAAGATTTCAGTGGTTTATATGGTGGTGTGTTGATGGAGCAAGTCAATTTCGTTCAGAGTTGTTTGAGACATATTGTTAGAATGTATGAAAGGAAAACATCTGGTCCGGTGATTTTGATTGGTCATTCAATGGGAGGAATGATTGCGCGAGCTCTATTTACATTGGACAATTTCCAATCAAAATTTGTATCAATTCTCATCACACTTGGAACACCTCACGTTGCACCTGTTGTACCATTTGATAGCCACCTGAATACATTTTATTTTAATGTGAATAAATTTTGGAAAAATACTCCTTCAGTAGCAAACCTCAGTGTAATATCACTTGCCGGTGGTGCAAGAGACATATTAGTTCCTGCAAGATATTGTTATCTCCCTCGTAATATGCATATTGATTTACAATACAGTGCAGTCACAACTGCTGTACCTGATGTATGGCTAACAATTGACCATCTAGCTCTGTGTTGGTGCAAACAACTTATTCTGGTTATAAATCGAGCATTGTTCGCTTTACTTGATGAAGATGCCTACACTAATAGGATCACTGAAGATAGAATAAAGCAAGTACGAGTTTTGCAGCAATATTTTGGAGTTTTTGATAAACAAAATGAAGATATATTATCCGAAATCAGAATTGATCAATCGTCAGCAATCTATAACGAGACAAGTTTGTGGAATCATTTTGAAGAGATATCCCTCTCTGGAACACTTCTGATTCCAGTTGATACGACTGGGATTGGTGCACAATTTATTGCACTATCAAACTCTTTGGGAGATATTTCTATCATGAGTTGTCAAAGTGTACAAATGGATAGATGTACTGGTAGTAAGGTGATCTCTTTTGAAACATTACCAAAAACGTCGAAGGAGAGAGCAGGCTTTGTGCAACTTACGAAACTCATAAATACATCATATATAAAAGTATCTAGTTTGAAAGACAAGCCGCAAATAGCCATGCAGTTTCTACGTAGGTACGATATCAACAAACAATTCGACAAGTTTAGAATATTCTCAGGTGTACAGAGGTTTTTGTCGTCGAGCTACTTGTTCATGAATATTTCTCTACCAATGATTAGAAATTGTTTTGATGTTTACGTAATAACCGTTGAGAAAATGAATTGTGAAAATGACCGCGATGGTTTGTTTACAGGAAGAATTCATTTACCGTGGGCTCAGGAAGATGTCTATGCCAGACCAGCCCAATCTACAGAATTCACTATTCTTTTAAAGATTCACACCTCAAAACCAACAGCAGTTTCAGAATTCGCACAGCTCCACGTTTGGAAAACAGATGAATGTTCTATTGAGGTCACTGTGGAGTACCAGTTTACTCGAACTCTAGGTCGAATTTTTATCCTCTATGCTCCGCTAGTTCCACAGTGGATTTATTCCTGGATAATGATTGTTCTAGTTATTCAACTCGGACAAATGTCAGATAAAAGCATTTGCTTGTCAATTTGGTCAATTGTTACCTCAGGCACGCTAATTAAGTTTATTCCGCTCTTCGTATTACTTTGTAATGAATTGTTAATGAAGTCTTTGATTGGTAGCCTTGGTTGGTTTGACGTTATCTCTCAGTCTCGTGGTTTTGACGGTCTTGTGTTATATGATTGGGCATTACCCTCGTGTTTTGTAATTCTGACTGCTTTTGTAATATTTCTAGCTCTTTACATTTTTCTCGAAATCATCCTGTCATCCCTCGCTTGGTTACTTTTATTATCTCCATCAAAACTTATTCAACCTCAGACTAGTACTACTGTTATGGTACTGTTCTATAGCGGCTTGGGGCTGGTCCTTTTCTCTTTGATGTGCTTATGCAGTTCTATTGCCATTTACTTCCTGGCAATGGCTAGCTTTATTCATTGCTGTAGGACAACGGCGAAATCTAGAATTTTTATTACAGAAGTCAGCAGCTTTGACAAGTGTCAGATTGCCAGCAAACTGAATTTAAGCAAGTTACTTTTAGTCTTCTTGTTAATTGTTTCTTTTCAAACTACTCCAGCTTTTATAGTTTGGCTCAAAGTTTTGCCAACTTCGTGGTTCCTTCCATCTGACCCTTTTCGTACCTTGGTTTTACTTCTTATCCCAACTGTCGTTTGTTGTCTTGAAATGCATGTTCGTAAACCTCCCAAGTATGTTGTATATGTCATCTTGTTTGTGTGGTGTGTTGGTTGTCTACTTCTTTCGTTAGATAGGTTTCCATATATTTTTGGGTTTATTTTATTGGCAGTCAATTTCTTTGTCTTTGATAAACATAATAAGCACAAGAAAAACTGACTTGAATAGAAATTAATACACCATTGGTTAGTGTGCAGGTTAAGGAACAAGAATCATATAGAGATATGCGTATGACCAACATTAGAAATACAAGATAAGTGAATGCGAACTGTCTGCTGTTCCAATGTAAGAAATGTAACATCTCGTATACCAAAAGACATATGCCGTATGCTCAGCAAGGTTCTGGAATGCCCTACGTATGGATTAATATGAAAATAATTTAACTATGAAACTCTCAGGTTACCCCGACTAGTATCAATCCTCTTTTAAATTTAATGACCGTACGGATTGCCTACGATCATGGAAAACAATATATTTAAAATGAGATCAGGCTCGTAGCTTGACCAAACTACTTGTACGTTGAACATGCAATTTTGCAATGGACGGTCCGTGAAAAATCTAGTGAGCTCCACATTACCATATACTGTATATCTGGAGCGAGAACTCGAGTCCAAAAAGTGAAGCCAATACAGTGGAAATTGAAGATCTATTGGACGTTAGTTCCAGTCCTTTCCATTTTTTCTGCGCGGTTAACATGAAGCTGAAATTTCGTATTTTGACATCGATTTAAAGAAAAATACTGGGAAAATGGTATTAAAACTGTTTACGACCATCTTATAGCTCTTTGACGTCAATTCCGCCATCTTGGCTTCACTTTTCTCATAGGTCAAATGACTGAAGTTTGTGCTCCATATATATATTTAAATGTCAACTTAAAAATTTATAACAAAAACTTGCCAAAACTTTTGTTGTTTATTTGTCTCTCACTCTTACCCTATCCTCATTAATTATGCAGATCTGCACATTAAGGCCATTAACTATGGTGTACATGCACAAGCATAAATGAACAGTAAATTGTTGCAATTAAGTCAGGATGTTACGCCATTTTGCTCACCAGCTAGAAAATGAAACAAAATGGCGCCTGTAGTGACGTCATGTGAAAACAATTTAAAAACAAAGTCATGAGGTTAAGTTTATTTTTTTACAATTTACATCTTATAGTTGACTGAAGTTTTTTTCGCTACCTCGCGCTTTAAAATTTTTATACCACTCTGCTTAATAACTTAAAAATAAAAATTATAGAACAAACTAAAAAGTTAATTTCAATATACAATTATTAAAATCAATAATTTAACATATAAATATATTTAATACTTTTTGTTTGTGGAAACACCACGTAAATTTGTTTCCACAAACAAAAAGTATAAAAAGTATTATATGTTTATCTCCATGCAATCCTACAAATAATTTATATTTACATCAATATATCTTCATCAGCGATGATGAATTTTCCCGTCACGTGAACTATGCCAGTTTTCCACTTTGACATTTCAGTTAACATAATTCATGCATGCCATAGATTTCTAAAAGAAACCTATGTCCCAGCAATTACTTATACATTTTATACTGTTTATACAAATAAAGTATTTTAATACCACACTTAATATTTGTAAAGTAAAATAAAATAAGGTAAAGTAAAATAAATTGAGTTCACTGCGATGGCGTAGCACACCAAAGCGCCCGGGTCAAGAGTAGATTTCCCCTCGCAGATATAAAACACGAGAGCGCAGCTCGAGTGTTTTATACGATAAAGCACGGACTGTATGCGAGTGTTTTAAATGGCTTAAAAAACGACCCATCTAAAGAGTTCATTAGCGAAATAATATTAAAAATAAACTTTGTCTAAGCCGAGAAAATCAAAGCTAAAGTTTATGTAAATGAACATGATTTTTTATCACATATAAAACCACTGACACGGCAGTGATTTCCTTTGTCTTTTCCTCATGAATTACTACTGAGTTTTTTAATAAAAATTACGTATTATATTTAAAACATGAGCAGCAGTGTTTTATCAGATATAAAGATACGAGGGGAAGCCGAGTATCTTTACTATTTAGGTCTGATAAAACACGCACTGCGAATGTTTTATATTGCTTGAAAGGCGATCGATCTAGTAAGTTCATTGGCGAAGCAATTTTCAAAAAATACGTTGTGTAAGTCGAGAAAATCAAAGTTAAAGTTTATGTAAATCAAGGGAAATCTTTATCACATATAAAGATACGACACTATGATTTTTCTTTGTGTTTTCATGAGTTTTTTTAATTTTTCATCAAACAAAATAAAAAATAATAATTATAAAACAATTAAATTGTTCAAATTGCCTCTTTATGGCAGCCGCCGAAAACATCGATCTCGAACCCCCCC